TATGGTCAAATATTCTGATTACATGAAAAATAAGCACTCTTATGGGTATTATGTTACACATACCAACTTCTTCATGAAAGACGCACTTAAACCTCTTCTGTATAAAGAAAAACTTGGGAAGTTGGGAGGAGGGATAGCTAGAACATATAATGGTATATCAGAAGTTTTATACTACCCCATGCATTTCTACTAGTCTCATCATTAATTGAGATTTATTTATGTACCAAAATTTGTGACTTGCCTTAATAGTCAGGTCAGGCTAAAGGCACAATAAAATAGGACAGCTTTAACTTGCTTATTCTTGACTTGCTTATTCCAATCGCTTTTGGAATCTGTCCACCAATGTGGCATTCAAAGACTATTTAAAGTATATAAACATTCTTTTTGACCTAACAAGGGAAACAAATGCAGGGCAGGCAACTTGATTTTGTGAATATCACATGTATGTAAATGCCTCCTAGTGGACTCAGGGTATATTATAACTATGTATGTATGTATGTATGCATGTATGTAGTGAGTGGGTTTAAATAGGAAGCAAAGTCAAGCAAAGAAATAGGCCACACTTAGAGAACTGTGCTGTCCCCAGAAATGACTGTTGGAAATTATTTGATTTTAATGGAATGCGAAGAAGTAACCAAACAGGATGGGAATATGAAGAGAAGCAAGCTATGGTTGGACTGAATAAAGAGTTAGAATAAAGGTGAGATTAAGGAGGCATTACAAATGAAAAAATGAGGAAAAAAGCCTTTATTCAGAGATATTTTGGTGTGAAAGAAAAGAATAAAAGGAGTTTGGAAAGATATGGTGACTATTTTATATGCTGAGGATGCAATATGATAGAGAAAGACTAGATTCTGGATATTTTTAGCTTGTTTGTAGTTTTGAGAGAAAAAATACTTTTATTTCTATTATAGTAGTTTGCCTTTTATGTATTTGGCTGGGTAACAGTGGCCAACTTTATAATTTCTACAAGAGTAAAGACACCCCTAATATGATTTATAGCATAGTCCACAGGAGAAATTAATATTTGCTTTAGAAAAGATGGACAATGCTATCTTGGCAGATAATATTATTCAATGTGATTTACCAATAGCAGAAATCATTCTATATAAACTCAGACCACACACAAAAAAATCATAGATAAGGAATCCACAGTAAGAAGTGAATCTAAGTTACAATGGGAATTGGGATTCTTTAACTTTCTGAATCCCCTTTATGGATTACTGCCTTGTTGTGGCAAAGGGGCTTGCGTAATTCAATGAAGCTATAAGCTATGCCGTGCAGGGCCACCCAAGACGGACAGATCATAGCAGAGAGTTCAGACAAAATGTGATCCACTGGAGAAGGAAATGGCAAACCACTCCAGTATCTTTGCCATGAAAACCCCATGGACAGTACTAAAAGGCAAAAAGATATGACGCTGGAAGATGAGCCCCTCAGGTCGGAAGGTGTCCAATATGCTACTGGGGAAGAGCAGAGGGCTAGTACTAGTAGCGCCAGAAAGAATGAAGCGACTGGGCCAAAGCCGAAAGGACGCTCAGCTGTGGATATATCTGGTGGTGAAAGGAAAGTCCGATGCTGTAAAGATTTTTTCTCCATAGGAACCTGGAATGTAAGATCCATGAATCAAGGCAAGCTAGACGTAGTCAAAAAAGAGATGACAAGAATGAACATCGACATCTTAGGAATCAGCGAACTAAAATGGACAGGAATGGGTGAATTTAACTCAGATGACCATCAGGTATACTACTGTGGGCAAGAATCCCTCAGAAGAAATGGAGTAGCCTTCATAGTCAATAAAAGAATAGGAAAAGCAATACTGGGATACAATCCCCAAAATGACAGAATGATCTCAATTCGAATCCAAGGCAAACCATTCAATATCACAATAGTCCAAATCTATGCCCCAACCACTGGTGCTGAAGAGGATGAAATTGACCGGTTCTATGAAGCCCTACAGCACCTTATAGAATTAACACCAAAAAATGATGTCCTTATCATCATGGGGGATTGGAATGCTAAGGTAGGAAGCCAAAAGATAACCGGAATAACAGGCAAGTTTGGCCTTGGAGTACAAAATGAAGCAGGGCACAGGCTAATAGAATTTTGTCAAGAGAATACGATGGTCATAACAAACACTCTTTTCCAACAACCCAAGAGACGGCTCTACACATGGACATCACCAGACGGTCAACATAGAAATCAGATTGACTATGTGCTCTGCAGCCAAAGATGGAGAAGCTCTATACAGTCAGTAAAAACAAGACCAGGAGCTGACTGTGGCTCAGATCATGAGCTTCTCGTTGCAAAATTTAGGCTTAAATTGAAAAAAGTAGGGAAAAGCACTAGGCCACTCAGGTATGAATTAAATCATATTCCTGATGAATATACAGTAGAGGTGACAAATAGATTTAAGGAATTAGATCTGATAGACAGAGTGCCTGAAGAACTATGGATGGAAGTTCGCAACATTGTACAAGAGGTAGCAACTAAAACCATCCCAAAGAAAAAGAAATGCAAGAAAGCAAAATGGCTGTCTGAGGAAGCTTTGCAAATAGCTGAGGAAAGAAGGGAAGCGAAAGGCAAAGGAGAAAGAGAAAGATACACCCAATTGAATACAGAATTCCAGAGAATAGCTAGAAGAGATAAGAATACCTTCTTAAATGAAAAGTGCAAAGAAATAGAAGAAAACAACAGAATAGGGAGGACCAGAGATCTCTTCAAGAAAATTGGAGATATGAAGGGAACGTTTCATGCAAAGATGGGCATGATAAAGGACCAAAATGGCAGAGACCTAACAGAGGCAGAAGAGATTAAGAAGAGATGGCAAAACTACACAGAAGAACTATACAAGAATGAGCTTAATGTCCCAGATAACCACAATGAGATGGTCACTGACCTCGAACCAGACATCCTAGAATGTGAAGTGAAATGGGCCTTAGAAAATCTGAGCAACAACAAAGCTAGTGGAGGTGACAGTATTCCAGCTGAGCTATTCAAAATCTTAAAAGACGATGCAGTAAAAGTGCTACACTCAATTTGCCAGCAAATTTGGAAAACTCAACAGTGGCCACAGGATTGGAAAAGGTCAGTTTACATTCCAATTCCAAAGAAAGGCAATGCCAAAGAATGTTCAAACTATCGCACCATTGCACTCATTTCACATGCTAGTAAAGTTATGCTTAAAATCCTACAAGCTAGACTCCAGCAGTATGTGGATCGAGAACTACCAGAAGTACAGGCAGGATTTTGAAGAGGCAGAGGAACTAGAGATCAAATTGCCAACATACGCTGGATCATGGAGAAAGCTAGGGAGTTCCAGAAAAACATCTACTTCTGCTTCATTGACTATGCAAAAGCCTTTGATTGTGTGGATCACAACAAATTGTGGCAAGTTCTTAAAGAGATGGGAGTACCAGACCATCTCATTTGTCTCTTGAGAAACCTATATGCAGGTCAAGAAGCAACAGTGAGAACTGGACACGGAACCACTGATTGGTTCAAAATTGGAAAAGGAGTCCGGCAAGGCTGTATACTGTCGCCCTGCCTATTTAACTTATATGCAGAGCACATCATGAGAAAGGCAGGGCTAGATGAATCAAAAGTTGGAATTAAGATTGCCGGGACAAATATCAACAACCTAAGATATGCAGATGATACCACTCTAATGGCAGAAAGTGAAGAGGAACTAAAGAGCCTCTTGATGCGGGTGAAGAAGGAGAGTGCAAAAGTTGGCTTGAAACTCAACATTAAGAAAACCAAAATCA